GTGCGGCCGCGTACAGCGCGTTCCCGGACGGTCCCACGGAAGACAAGACCAGACCTGCTTAGGTTAGGTTACAAGTAGGCACCGGGCAGATCCACACTTAGGTTGGGTTGGGTTAGGGGTGGTTGGGTTAGGGGTGGGTTAGGTTAGGCCCGCCCAAGAAGGCGGCTTAGGTTGGGTTAGGCCCGACCAAGATGGCGGCCCCTTAGGTTAGGCCGGCCCAAGATGGCCGCCCCTTAGGTTAGGTTGGGTTAGGCCCGACCAAGAGGGCAGCTCAGGGGGAGGGGAGGGGGATGTTACAATGGGGAATCATTACTACTAGCACACGGGAACAGTCACTGGCTGTACCTTCAATGTGAGTAAATAATTTAAAAGTATCAACTGGAGATGTTTAATTGATGGTTTTTGAACTGAATAATATCATACAATGAGACGAATCCTAACCAATTTGTGTGAAATTATTATAGTTTGATCCACCATCTTCCACGATCCTCTTTGAGCATCCAATATATTCTTTAATTTCATATGTAGATCCATTTTTAAGGGGAGGTTCTGGTGAAAATCTTGCCATTTTCCAAATGGATCCTACAGTCATAATTTGTTCGGAATATAAAATTTTTCATTGGGGAGACTAAAATTTGACTTTTGAAGGCACATGCCAGGCTGTAAACCCGGTCGAAGAGTCTTTTTGAGCCTATTTTGGCTGTATCTTAAAAAATCTCCTTGCGCATACTATTTTGTCGTAAAAGGTTGACCTTGACATTTTTCACTTCTTCGACTCATTTTCAAAAGATTCCGGCATGCATAGCTCAAAACTTCCATTATATTATTAATTATTAGCTTTTTAAGCTGAAAAGTCCCTAAAATTTGTCTATTTTGTACATTTTTGATCAATTTTAGTGAAATGCTTGGTTAGAAAGCTTGCGAATAAAAATGCAATTGACATTTTGAGATGGGCATGCCGGCATTTTTAAAAAAATGAATCGAAGAAGTGAAAAATGTCTAAGCCAACCTTTTACGACAAAATAGAATGCGCAAAGAAGATTTTTAAAGTTATAGCCTAAATGGGAGAAAAAGGCTCTGCGACTGGATTCAGGGCATAGAATGTGCCTCCCCAATGAAAAATTTTAATAAATACTTGATAAGAAATTAAATTTTTAACAAATTTTCACAGTGGGACCTATTTAGGAGAAAATAGCATTTTCACCAGAACCTCCCCTTAAGCGTAATTTATCAATGCGCTCTTTCTGAAGCGTATTTATCTACTTTTTTCCATTACGCTCTTTTTCAAGCGTAAAATTAACCCCCCTTGGAAAAGTGCTCTTGTTTTCAAGCGTATGTCATTTTACGCTTGAACCCAAGCTGAGAAAATTTTACGCTTGAAAAGCAGGCGTAAGGTTACGCTCTAGTTTTACCAGTGTGGCAACAAAGCTAATTACCTACTGTCCCCAGTTACCCCCGGTCATGGGGTAACTTGGGACACTCTTTCGAGACCGCTTGGAAACGATGTAATCGAGGCAAATGAACCAGACAAGCATGAAATCATGGAGAAAGGGTCAAACTTCAACATAGTTAGGATCCAATGGTCTGGGTTGAGAATCTTGCCTCTGGCGTTCAAAAAACGTGAAAAAGTGTCCCAAGTTACCCCCGTTGACGGTACGCGATGGGTACTCAGTGATGACTCCGTCACGTCGACACGGTGGGCACGATAGTGGCCGGCCAACCGGAATGGAGACAAAGAGCTGATGCGCCATAGCATGGTGCTTAAACGATGTCCTGGCGTAACAGTGCTTAAAAAGGGCTGGTAGCGCCACGGGGGGCGTGCCTTCAGGGTTTGGTCACGGCCAAGGACTGTTAGCACTGAGTGTGTAGAGCCCTTCCTCTGCGTCATCTTGCAGGGGGGATTACACTTATCGCTTCTCGGATTGGGTTAAATAATAAATAATCTAAAAGAATAAATTACAAGTTATAAACGCGAACGCGACGTGACGAGGGGTTAAAATTTGGCTATTTAAGATCAAGGTGAGGGAGTCCGCACAGGCAGTAGCACTCCACGCCGAGGGGGAAAGCACTCGCGTAATAGTCGGGTCCGTAATAGCACGCGTAATAGTGTGCGTAATAGTAGCGTAATAGCTGAAATTCTCAAAATTTGATCTATTTTAGGGGTTTTTTGGTCTGTTTTCAGCTAAATCGCTACATTTTGAGGCGTAATAGAGCGTTATAGGCGCAATAGTCGGGTCGCAGGTTTTAGGAGTGATTTCCCCCTCGCTCCACGCACTACATTAAGGCATGCCAAGGCGCAGCGACTCTCTCAGATAGCGGTACTTGTCAGGTATTCACTGGGCCATGATCAGAAATCAATGTGTCAAGTGTCGTCTCGTACGAAACCTCCCTCACACTTTGATCTTAGCCAAAAGGCCGAGAAGCGATTTAGCGTTCTGGTATACCAGAACAGAAACGATTGTTGGGATTTCACGAAGTTGTGCTCATATTTCTTCCTCGGTACGCTTGCGTAGTCTTTTTCGCGGGGCACTGTGGCAATTCACTTTACGACTCCCTCATTGCCCTGCTGTGGTGTTTGTTTATGGCGCAAAGTGTATCGCATCCCATCGTGTGACCTTGAGTCTGGGAACGGGAGCAATCGGGCTTTCAGGAACTCCGACACTCGGCCGTCACAGCACCTCTGTTGCAGCCGAAAAAGAACAAACGTAAGTCAGAGTCTCGGTCAGAGTGGACTGCACCCCCAATTTCTTACCGACTGTGAGAAATGCCGTGCAGTCATAATACTAATCTAAGTATTGGTACGTTACGATACAAACCTGCCATAATACAGACTGGTTTGTTCGTACTACGAAGAAACATGTCGCAAGGCTACTGAGAACCTGTAACCATGTACATGACATGTATGCACTAGTGTTCGTGCTTGGCAGGCATGCTCCAAGTAGAGCACACAGGTGTGAGTTGAATCTAAGTACATTGAAGTCTGAAATGGGTCCATTCAGTTTGGTTTCAATTGTTTTAGGCACTTATTTAGCTTCAACGACCACAACTTCTCTTAGCTTCAAATATTAATGACAAAATAAATCATCCTCACTCACCAAATCTCCTACAACCATAGAAAACAACCGAACAAACTTGACATCTCAGCCAGTTATTTTTAACCTGTCCCTTCAGAAAAATCCTCTGACACTGGAGGTACTTTACTTAGTTTGAATGAACTGGGCCATGGTTCAAAACATGAATCCTTTCTTTCAACATAGGAATAGTGAAATACTTTGACACAAACTTACGCAATCAAGCCAACATAATATCGTGGCAGATGCCCTCCTCGAAGTCATAAAATTTGTCAACAGAGGTATCTTTAGGAAGTGCAATTGATGGTAATAAACGAAGAGGACAGTCGTCTTTGACACCTGTCAAACTAGCATCCACCAAAATGCTCTCCACCTTTGTTGCGTGGATTCATTGTGGATGCTACGTGGCTCCATTTACATTAAGAGAGATTCTTTTCTTGTTGAAGGTCTCAACGCAACAAATGGCCGCTATGCAACTCTTCGTGACTGTGGCGCTGATACAGGCAGCTGCATCAAGAACCCTACTGGTTAGTGCACTAGGGTATGTTCATAAGTAAACTAGATCCCTCAGGCAACTTTGTGCCAAATCCACACGCTGATGATTTGGTGGATTCAGCTCCAATTTCGCCGTCAACTTTTATCATTTGTTTGAGCAAATCATGCTTACGATGGGCTGCCGTACTTTTTATGGTTTCCCTCTCGTTCCAGGAGCGTAATACCACGTTGAAACGAGCGTGACCAAATACCACGCTCGTTTGAATGTGGCTATTAATGAGCTTTAGGCCTATTGGCATTCAAACGAGCCTGGCACAATGTTGAAAGGAGCGTAATATTTTGTCGCGCTCCTTTCGATGTGATGCAACGCTCCTGGAGTGCGTAAAACTGTCACTGTTCCATGCCTTCTCCTTTTCACACTCCACTTTCGTACGTAATTTAACTCTCTTTTGCCTCTCGACTTTCTGTTCACTGCAAGAAATAACCACAACAAAAGTACACAAGTTTCTGGCATTTTTTTTATAAGGGCTTTACTGTACTTTAAATTCCACTTTGGTACAACAAATGTTGTTCATAGTACAATCGGCATGACAAATGCCGTGCAGTCCAGGCCTCGTTGTGGTTTGTACAATGCTCGTTTCTTTTTCTACAATCCCTATTGTACTATCCACACTCTCTTTCAGTTTACTGCCAATAGACTGTTCTGTAATTTGACTCTCTGAACTGTAATTCGACATTCTGAAAGCTGGCATTCGACTGTATACTGTCACTCTGTGCTCTGGAATTCAACTCTCTGTTTAGGTCCCATCGCGCCTCGTCGCAGAAGTGCCCGTCCTGCAGGCGTGCAGCGGCGTCAGGGGCAACGCGTGCGTCTTCGAGGCGCCCATCGCCAGGAGCATACACGGCCGAGGCAACTACACTTTCAGCGGGGCCTTCAACATCACGCGCAGCGCACAGCACATCGCGGAGGTGGGGAGGCCTCGGCACTCCGCTCATCCGGTGACCGTTAAAGATGCATTCTTTCTCAAACCAAATCAACTTTCCGGGTCAATGTGGAGTTTTGGCCTACCAATTTTTTTATCAAGAGGCCCTCACTAGGAGAGACTCCCTGTAAAATATTTTTGCAATTGGACCAATAGTTTGGGAGAAAATGACAAAAAACCATTTTCACCTATTTTAGCGCAATTTAAGGTTGAAAAATTTCAAAGTGTCAAAATGCTGCTAAATTAAGGTCCCATTTGCCCAATGCTTTTCTTAAATGAAAGAGCATATTGAAAAGTAATTTTGAGCCACTTTGGAGTCAGCTGACTTTACGCATTACCCCAATCGTGTAACATTATAGGAATTTTACGCAATTTTCATATCTCAAATACTCCGACTCAGAACTGGACCGAATCAGGCCCAAAGCATCCTTATATAGCCCTAACTAATATCCCAAGTAGTCATCAAAAATATATTTTATTTGTGGATTCTGGAGCCAACTTTATAATCTGAAGTCTTTGTAACTCGATAAATTAACGGTTTTGGACTTGAAAGCATATTTTCTCCATCCGAACAACTCAGATGGGGCTCAAAACAGATTCTTAACTAAAAGTAAATTTCTCTTTTGTAAATGAGCCCAAACCAGCAGGAGGAAGGGGTCAAAACTGCCTCACAACAACTTCGACTCTTTTCCGGCAACATTCCTAAAATGTTACTCGATTAGGGTAACGCTTAAAGTGAGCTGCCTCCAATGTGGCTTTGACATAGTACAAGGTAGGTTTACGCCAGACCGCGTCTTGTCGTAACAGGCTTCGCGATGTCTCGCTGCCTGCTCCTCCAATCCACGCCTGGCGTACCTACCTTGGCCTGCGGCGCTAGCCTGCCTGCGGCAGGCAATGGGTTGTCCGTTGTCGGTTATTTTTTAACTTGTTGAATGCTGGGGGGCTCCGCCCCCCAGACCCCCCTACATTCTAAATAGAGTTGTTTTATCTACAGATAACACGATCTTGACCCTTGTCACTTTTTAACTTGTCGTGGCTGGGGGGCTCCGCCCCCAGACCCCCCTTTCTCCAAGACAGAAGTGGTCTATCTGCAGAAATCTCTATTTTTCGCCGTTTTTTAGGTGTTTTTCGCCTATAAAAACTGAACCAGTTGAGCTAGGATGGTGAAATTTCGCGTGTGCCGAGCCAAGGACATACCCAAGAAGTGTGCAAAATCTCACCGAGATCGGCCGAGCCGTTCAGGAGGAGTAGTGCGGACACACAGACACACAGACAGACAGACAAAACTTTTCAACCCCACTGGAGTAACAGGCTTCGCTATCGCTCAGCCAAAAAGAAGCATCAAAAATCTGTCTTTAGACAAAAGCAATGAAATGACCACCAGAAAAAATAATGTTTATCTAATGAGACAGGCCCTTCACCTTATGCTGGAAATGATGTTTTCAGAGGGGAACCACTTACTATGAATTACCTTGTTTTCTTCTGGTGGCCATTTCATTGCTTTTGTCTAAAGACAGATTTTTGATGCTTCTTTTGCTATGTCAAAGCAACATTGGAGGCAGCTCACTTTAAGCGTTACCCTAATCGAGTAACATTTTAGGAATGTGGCCGGGAAAGAGTCGAATTTGTTGTGAGGCAGTTTTGACCCCTTCCTCCTCACTCTCATTCGAGGAACGTGACATCACGTTGAAACGAACGTGACAAAATGTCACATTCGTTTGAGCATTGTGTCACATTCGTTTGGGTGTGAATTGGCCAAAAATCAGGTAGTTCACATTCAAACGAACGTGACACAATGCTCAAACGAACGCGACATGTTGTCACGTTCGTTTCAACGTGGTGTCACGTTCCTGGAATGAGAGTGCTGCTGGTTTGGGCTCATTTACAAAAGAGAAAGTTACTTTTAGTTAAGAATCTGTTTTGAGCCCCTTCTGAGTTGTTCGGATGGAGAAAATATGCATTCAAGTCCAAAACCGTTAATTTATCGAGTTACAAAGACTTCAGACAGGGTTGCCAGCGACTCACTATTGTCACTATTTTTCACTATTTCCAAAGTGCCCTCACTATTTCCACTATTCTGGAAATTTTGTCACTTTTGTCACTTTTTTGGAGCTCGCGGAGGGTATCATGTCCATTTTACTTCGTTATAAGCGTAAATTTGCCTTTGGTTCAAAACACTGTTCAAATCACCCGCCGCCGGTTTCGTGAAGTCTATCGAGGTATCGAACCGCGCGGCAGCGCTGTGTCGGAAGGCGGTGACTGTTGACGAGGGGTCCTATGCAAATGATCTTATCTGGGCGTTCGCCCCAAGAGAATCTTAGCCTTAAGGCAGGTGTATTTCACTCAGTTCGATCGTTCTGGACGGACACGAGAGTAAGCGGAATACATTTCTACTTGCACTTTTACTTGTTTAGATCTTTCATCTTAGGGTTTAAGTGAATTCTATCACAAATCATATTGATTTGCAGCCAAATCAAATGACAAATGAGTAAAATTTGTCTGCGTTTAAGATAATATTCACTTGGGGGGAACGCCCAGATAAGATCTTTTGAATATGACCCCGCGTTGTGGTTGTGTTACGTCGCGCGGTCAGGCGAGTGAATTAGGAGGCGGCCGGCTTCTATTGCGGGCGAGATAGGCCAGTCTATCTTATCAGATTTATTTGTATTTTTTGAGAATTTGGTTCAGTTTTATATTTTAAGTAGAGATGTATCCTAACACCGTTTTGTTTTTAAAGCTTTTGCTTTAATGCTTCTCTTTTTGTTCTTTCGAGTTTAAAAGTTCCCGTTAACTTTACAGAACCATTCCATTGCCTCTGTTTCACGCGCCTTTTTCCGGTTTTATGGTCCTTACACCCACATACCATGTATTTGAGCTCCAATTAAGTGCCAAAAGCGATAATTTTCTACAGATCATAGCAAAATTTAGTCTAAAAATGTAACTTTATTGTCACTATTTAGCAAAAAGACGTCACTTTTTTGTCACTATTTTAAAAGGTGCTAAGTCACTTTTCTACTATTTTCAACAGTCCTGGGCGCTGGCAACCCTGACTTCAGATTATAAAGTTGGCTCCAGAATCCACAAATAAAATATATTTTTGATGACTACTTGGGATATTAGTTAGGGCTATATAAGGATGCTTTGGGCCTGATTCGGTCCAGTTCTGAGTCGGAGTATTTGAGATATGAAAATTGCGTAAAATTCCTATAATGTTACACGATTGGGGTAATGCGTAAAGTCAGCTGACTCCAAAGTGGCTCAAAATTACTTTTCAATATGCTCTTTCATTTAAGAAAAGCATTGGGCAAATGGGACCTTAATTTAGCAGCATTTTGACACTTTGAAATTTTTCAACCTTAAATTGCGCTAAAATAGGTGAAAATGGTTTTTTGTCATTTTCTCCCAAACTATTGGTCCAATTGCAAAAATATTTTACAGGGAGTCTCTCCTAGTGAGGGCCTCTTGATAAAAAAATTGGTAGGCCAAAACTCCACATTGACTTGGAAAGTTGATTTGGTTTGAGAAAGAATGCATCTAAACTGGGTCGCATCTTTCCCGATTATGTCGGGACCAGGGTCATTGAATTCGTCTCGTCGCCCTAATCTCAAAAATATCCCTGTATGCCGTGCTAGCACTTCTTGAGGCCGAAATAGTATTTCCGCTCATGTAACCCGCCTGGCACCACCGATTTGTTAGTTCGCCAAACTTGAGTGCCCTCCAAATCTAGAAAATCTGGTTCAACTCCTCTTGTAGGCCGCACAGACGACGTCGTCGACGACAACACACATACTCAAAGGCAATCATAGCCCCCCCCCCCCCCAAATGCCCTCCAAGTCTGGAAAATGTGGTTCAACTCCTCACTGTGGCAAAAAGGTACGGACAATTCTGTTAATTTTTTTGCCAGAATTCTCCGTAGCCCTCTTATCAATATTCGCCGTAGGCTCTTACAGTATTTTCCGTAGGGCCGCACAGTATTCTCTGTAAGTCCGCACAGTCTTCTCCGTAGGACATGGAAGACTGTATAGTCCTACGGAGATCACTGTAAGGTCCTACGGAGAATACTGTGCGGTCCTACAGAAAATACTGTAAGAGCCTACGGAGAATATTGATAAGGGGGCTACGGAGAATTACCACAAGCTGTTTACAGAATATTCCGTAGCTTTTTGCCACAGTGCTCTTGTAAGGGAGGGCGGGGCAGTTTGAAACAGGGGCAGTTTGAAACAAACACCAATATTAAAGCAATGAGGGCTGCCGAAGGAAATGTGAGTGTGCACAATCTTCTATTTTCATGATCTTACTGATTTGCGATCGGCACGGTCGTCAACGGTGCACTTTAGTGGCCTTGAAAACAAGGTGAAACTTCGGTAACATTGAAATTGGCCTAAACTTCAATTTCTAAGTCACGGGAGTTTCCGTCTGGGTTTTGCTAGTAAGCAATCATCTCCCGCGCACTTAATTAATCTTTTAGTACCATATTAGACCAACGTAACGCACCCTCGGACACTGACGTAGCCCTCACCAAGTCCGGCGGGGAGCAGCACAACTGGAATGGTGCCCTCTGGGGCAGTTTGAAACAGATGTGGATGGGGCAGTTTGAAACACAGCAATATCACTAGAAAAAACGTTTTATATTATGGAAAGCGAGCATAACGATGGAAGTTCGTAATTCCAGATGGCATCAATGGAGACTAGGGGTGGTCGAATGTACACTTTTTTCGAAATCTCAAAAGTTAGATGGCGCATTTTGTAGTATTTTTTCTGCTGATTCCGAATATGTACTTGGTTTTGAGAAAGGAGTGAAACCGAGGGCGCTACCAGCCTTTTAAGTTTTGAAAAATTGCTTAAAATGCGAATTTTTAAAATTTTACTTTTTCTCCGTTTGAAAATCACAGTACATTTTCGGAATCGGCAGAAAGAATGCAACAAGATGCGCCATCTAATTTTTGCATAATTTTTGCAAAATTGACATTTTGAGAAAAGTACGCTCTTAAGGGTGGTCAAAAACACTATTTTCGTCAAAATATCCATTTTGCAAAAATTATGCAAAAATTAGATGGTGCATTTTGTTGCATTCTCTCTGCCGATTCCGAAGATGTACTGTGATTTTCAAACGGAGAAAAAGTAAAATTTTAAAAATTCGCATTTTAAGCAATTTTTCAAAACTTAAAAGGCTGGTAGCGCCCTCGGTTTCACTCCTTTCTCAAAACCAAGTACATATTCGGAATCAGCAGAAAAAATACTACAAAATGCGCCATCTAACTTTTGAGATTTCGAAAAAAGTGTACATTCGACTACCCCTAATGGAGACGTTGTATGTTTGACCCGTGTTTCGCATCAAAATGCAACGTTTATGGACTGTTGCATGTTGTAAACTTTGCGGGCAGGAAAAGGCCTTTATTTCAACTCAAAAACAGTAATGTGTGCTAACAACTTTTGTTCGTCTCTCTGAGACGAATCAATTGCCATACGCATTTTCAAAAAAATTCGCATTTTGAAAAATATGCTTTTTTGGCTTTTAAATTATTTGCAAAAATGTTGAAAAAGTTCGTCAAAATGTCAGCACTTGCATGGCAACGTCTGTTTGAGTCTATTTGAATCTATTGGAGTTGTGTACGCGGCTCTTCTTGGCCCGTGTTGACTTCCATACAGCTGTTTCAAACTGCCCCATCGCTGTCTCAAACTGCCCCGGCCAGGGGCAGTTTGAAACAGATGCAAGGGTTGGAGTTTCACCTTATTATTAACTTTAAACGAAGTTGTAAGCGTCTGCGGGCGTTTTCTAGTCTAGATAATGAGTCATTCTATCAATCTAGTGCAAACACGCAGCATATAGACCAACAGTACGATTATAATAACGAAATTCCAAATTCTGTTTCAAACTGCCCCACCCTCCCTTAGGCCGCATAGACGACGTCGTCGACGATGACAACACATAGACTCAAAGGCGATCATAGACCCCCCCCCCTCCTCCACTGCATATTGTTTGAACAAAAGGGCACGCCAGAAAGGACTTGTCTGTTGTGAGCGTTGCCACCGCTTGAGGTTCAATTTCCCCCTTTTAAAGCCTTGTTGGTCCAAGGTCCAAGTGCAATGGAATGGATAGCGCCCTGTTAGGCATGGTCTCACATCTTAGCAATCACTACTCGTGAAGATTGCCTGATATAATTAGCCTTGCGCGGCAATAATTATTGTTAGGTTTGTTGATAGATTTTGTTGGATTTTACGCGATGCCGGGACGTCGTATCGAGCAACACGTGCGAGCACTTCCACACGTGGCGACTCCACCGCAACGCTTGCCGCACGTGGATGGACCCTGAAGCTCCGTGGGCCAGTTTGGTCAAGGCCTTCTCCAGTAGCTATCAGTGCCCGACCAAGGAGGTGAGCGTTCCTAGGAAGTGCCTACCGAAATGAGAAATGACTAGTAAGGTAAAAAATCAATTGTGGGTCACGGATCAATTGTGGGTCATTTTTTTTCGACGGGTCACCGCAGACCCGATGGAGATTGAATCGATTTGAATTTCGCGGTAGACCTTTCTCCAACCTCTCTTTGTCTCCCCAAATAGCGTGTATGTACGAGCGACGACTGTAACGGCTCCTATCAGGCTTCAAAGGAAGGCCCTTCAAAAAGTCTTGAAAATGGCGCCCATCCAACGAGGCGAAAAATCGTGTGTTTTTCAAATTGCCACCGTGAAGCTATTACGAAGTGAAACGGGACGCCCTTGCTGATTTAGGTTCATAATAGGTCAGGGAACATAAATTTACCATAGTACAGCCGAAATCATGCGATGCCATGGTGCGCGGGTGATGGCAAAGTAGCGTTCGCTACCATGTCAGGCCCATTATTTTAGACGAATTTCACGGTACCCGGGTGGAAGGATCTGTAGTTGGACTGTAGTTTGAACTGCAGTACAAAACTGTAGTCCGGAAACTGCAGTCAAAAGTGACTAAGAACTACAGATTTAACTGTTTGCGTCATCACAGTAAGATCTGCACTCCGTAAGTGTAAAATAATCTACAGTTTTACTGCAGTCCCTTTTGATTTGATGTGTTCAGATTAGAAAGTAGTTCTGCAAGTAGTGAAGACTCAGTAAAAAGTGTAAATAAAGAGCAATGCGGGGATACATTCTTAAAGAACACCTTGCACTGAAGTTCATCTTCAGTTCTGTGTGACAACAAAAGAGTCCAAATATCTAAATTTCTGAAAAATAAGAGCTAAGAAAATAAAGTAACGTCATTGTAAAATAAAATATAAAAAAAACTTATTTTTTTTAGAACGTGTATCTTAATTTATGGGTAAGAGTTCCTTTGCGTGGCTAAACTCATATCCACATGTCTCTCCAGTTTCCGACGGACCTTCGGGAACACCGAACCGAACCTTGGCGCGCTCGGGAGCCGAACGAGTCGGACTTGACGGTTCCGAAAACAAATGACTGTCGACTCGCTGATTCTTGGGGCGATATTTGTCGAAGTGAGCTTAGAGTGGCGGGATTCTTACTGTGGCCTGTGAAGATTCGAGTGTTAATGCCGATAAGATTGGCGATTTTTGCGGCGATTTTTGGCGATTCGGGGGGCTCGTGTCGCGTTTTGGCGATTGCAGCGCCCCTCTCGGCGATTCGGAGCACCCGGCAACACTGGCGCCGGCCGAGACGAGCGGCAGTCGCTCCAAGATGGCGTCTTCCTTCAGCTTTCATGTTCGTGTCGTCAGCCAAACGTTTTAGTGTTTACTGAAAAAGACTGGGCCGCAAACATCACGGTGGTTACCATGTCAATTTGGAAGTGCTATTATCACAGAGGAGGTAGGTTTTTGGTTTGAAATTGTATCAGTTTCAGTTGTGGTTCCAGTGCAAAGTCGTCTAGTGTTCTGTGTGTATTCTCAGCCCATTCTCTGTAGCTCAATACTTCTTGTTATTAGTGCGAGTGCGTTGTTAGTTTTACAGAGAAAAACTCTCTTAGTGACGCAAATGTTCATTATTTCAGCAGTCGTGCTCACCGTGACGGCGACGGGCGGCAGCGACGCGACAGGTCTGGTCTGACTTAACCTCCTGCTCTGTACACAACTGTCCCAGAACTCCAAGCAACTGCAATAATGCTACGAACTGTTTATGGATTCCTATGGACCAGTAAGTATGCAAATCAGATTTTTATTAAGATCTGCTTTTTGAAAATTTAACTTTGGTTCTGTGTAATCTGAGTTTTCTCTGTAATTTGTAGGATGTTGAGCGTTCAAGTTCAAGTTCCGGGTTCCAACTTAGCAGCCTAGGGGTGGCTTCACATTCACATCTAGGTCTACTGGTGTTCTAACATCTGGCCTGGAGTAACCATGAATTGGCTGCTGAACGTTTCCGATGCTTGGTGAGTGTTTTTGAATTTCCATTTAATTTTTAACTTCAACTGTGTCAGGAGTTTTATTTCTGGTCTGGTCTAGTAAAGAGAATTGTTTTCATTATGATAGGCCCCTCTGTGCACATTTGTTTAGTGTTGACCAGAGTAATAATTACAATTTGAAAATTTAGAGACCTGCTTTCCATAAACTTAGTCGAAGATGCTGTATTGTGCCAATATTTGTTGTTTATAAAATTAAACATCTTGCGCTTACTATTTGAACGGAATTGGTTAAACTAGACTTAACTTTCTTCCTCCGCTTCTAGTTGACAGATTTAGGAGTTATGAAATTACACAATCATTAAAATACTTCTCTGGTAATTTACTAATGAAAATATATTACCAACAACAAGAAGTTTTGGATAGCTATTTTATAAAATAATTGGTAGATGTGCTCATGATTTTGTACTGGCTGCAGTGCTGTGAAAATGCCTTAGTCTGTAGATTCTGGGTTGTGAAAGACAGCAAAGGAGAGATAAACCTTTTCCGTTCCTATTTTAAGCGAAATCTATTTTTTTAGTTAACGACAAGTACTAGCACATCTGCAGCCTCTTCGACTGGATGTGGCAAGTGGCAACAGCCTCATTTTGAAAACGTAGTTAACTGTGGAATGAATTTATTTGTAAGACTAAATATTTGTTATACAGAACTTCTTCTCCCTTTCTTTGCCTGTTATTTACTTGTTTCTTTGTCCATTTCAAACAGATGCTGTGACACACTCACTGACAAGTATAAGATTGCATGTTGCTTGGCTGGAGACTTGAGAATGGCCTTCTTCACCATGAAACTGGACTTGACTTTGGGTGAGTAATTAATCTGTGTCAAATTCCAAATCAGTATGCCAAACTTGCATTAACTTATCCATGCCTTGCTTTTGTTTCATTGCAGATAACCAACTACATAATTGATTTATAAAGAAAATTGTGTTTTGAATGTTTTGTATGGCCTGCTCTGTTGTTCATTAAAAATTGTATGTTATTCACCAGAGTGTTTGTTCAAGAAAACCTTTGCTTCAACATTTTATGTCATTTATCACAGTGTTCAAAAATACTTTTGTGACTAATTTAAATTGCTGAATCCACTTGCAGGCTGCGCAGCAGTAGATTTTGCAGAACTTGGAAGTTTTGCAAAATTTACTGTTGCGCAGTATGCAGGTGGATTTAGAAATTTAATTTAGTTGGAAAAGTAGTTTTGAATACAGTGATATTATTCTCAAAAGTCAACTTAAACTGTACTAGAACTGCAGTGAGAACAAGGGGAGAACTGAGAAGGGAACTGCCGTAAACTGCAGTTGTCCAAAACTATAGTAGCCAAAAACTATAGTTGTCCGAAATAACTGGTACTTTTACTACAGTTTAACTGTACTTTGGGCTTCACTCTTTTTGCACTCCAGCAATAGTTAAACATTATTTTAACTGAAATTATATGTTAGTTTTAACTAGAGTCAATAACACAAAAAAACAGTAGAATATTCTTATAGTGCAAACTACAGATCCTTCCACCCGGGTAGTTTTTTCTGATAATTTTTTGTTTTCTGCGCTTGAATGACTGGTATCGGAGTAAATTCCATTTTTCTGCTGTCACATTTAGTACTACGATACGAAGGTTACGTTAAGCTTAGGCTACAGCCCCGAATGACAACGCTAGCTCTTACTTCAAGTCTGCCGTAAGGCTTTTTTTTTGTCGTTGGGAGGGGGGGACGCATTGCGGGGCTTACGTAGCGCCCGGAAGGGGACCACTCTCCAACTGCATGCTAGGCACCCGAGGCCAGTCCGGCCCTGTTATAACGAGTCAAATCAACCCCTATAGACTAAATATTCTGACTGAAATAGATAATATACTGTAGCAATACCTCACGACAGGGTGTGTTGTTGCATTGTCTACCACACCGGCGGCCCAAGAATATGCAACACAAGAGCTTCATCTCCAATCCAGGACGTTTAACTCACATTAAAATTAGCCTGTTTATGTATTTTTCCTCTTAAAGTGAAAAACGTGCTTGCTTGGTTTATTGAGAACCAAGGGCCTTTAATCAATGAAAATAAGAAAATATCTTGCAAAAGTGGTCAATTTACAAGCAAAAGGCGAAATGGCCCACAATTGATATGACCCGCAATTGATTCATTGTGCTACAGATCCTGCAGTTTTCACAATTCCGAAAAATAAATTCAAAAGTGAAATCCTCTCGCAGTTAAGCAAATCATATCCAAATTTGAGCTTTCTACAATGCTGACCCACAACTGGTTCCAAAAATCAATTGTGGGCCAAAACAGACTATTTTTAAAACAGCCGTAGCTTAGTAACTAAGGATGATAGACGGGGCTACTATGCTGCAAAACTTAGTCCAAGGACCATAGTTGAAGGCCGCACATGCTTTATTGTCACCAGGTCAGAATTAAAGGCCTTAATTTGGAATTTTCACAAATGTGACCCACAATTGATTTTTTACCTTACACAAAGTCAAGGTGCTGGAGTTCGTTGCCTTTGGCATTGTCAAGCAGAGGGGCGTTCGCAGGAATACTTCAACCTGAAGCAATGCTTACTGTGCACATTGTTGCTGAGCCTTCGACACTTCGTATTTATATCTGAAGCTTGGCAAAGGGTTAAAATTTCCGTCTTTCAGGGTACGTACCGGATGAAGGACGCCACACTGGACACGAAAGGACTCTCTTTGTTGAACCTGCCTCTGGAAGGTGCAGTTTGGCAGACGACAATTACCTTCGTCGAACCGACGGGCAGCACTCATTATTGCATCGAGGGCACCACGGTGTTCCACAGAGTCCGCGCTTGAGGGGGCACCAAACTGCGAGAACAATATATACTTCCAACAAATTTTTAGAGGTATTTGAAGAAAGCGAGAAACATTACATGCACTGCAAGAAAAAACCACAACAAAAGTACACAAATTTCTGGCAAATATTTTATCAGGTTTTTATTGTACTTTCAAAGTACAACAAGTGTTGTACAAAGTACAATGGAACCGGCATGACGAGTGCTGAGCAGTCCATGCCTCGTTGTGGTTTGTACATTTCTCGTTGTACTTTCTACAATACCTGTTGTACTTTTATTGTACAGTTTTTGTTGTACATTTGTTGTACTATTCACACTTTTTCTTGCAGTGTGCCTTTATCTTGCAACCGTTTTAAGTTGTGCTGTAGGCGAAAATTACGCTTTTCATTTCCTACTTGATAATTAAAAATATTTTCTATTATTATCAAAAAGCCAATGAACAAACAAAAGAACCCCTACCAAAAATGTTTTGAAAGTTGAGATTGCCCTATCCTTAACCTAAAGCGTGTCTTCATTGCGACAACTCACCCATTGGTTTTTCCACATCGGCTAAAGTGATGCTATATTGCTCATGTAGTGGCCAGTTACGCCTAGAAATTTCAGCTTTGACACTGCAAATCCAGTGGCAAATTTCCTCGCCACTGGAGTGGCGTCTTTTCTTAAGCGCCAAAACTTGGCGTTCCCATCACTGGTTTCCGGATCCCCAGCCAAATTTTGGCGTTACACAGAGAGCGCCAAAATTTGGCGTTCCATTCCCCAGAGCACCACAGACCAGAACGCCAGAAAATGGCGCTGCAAAAGAAATGCAATAATTTGGCTTGGAAAGCAATACCCGTTCACATGAAAATAAATGTGCATACAACAGTTTACAGTGCTTAGGATCCCCACGGTAAAAGTGCCGCCTTGAAATCCAAGCGGATGTCTTGATAATATTTCCAAGAGGTTTGAGTGAATTTTCAAAGTGGTCTAAATCAAAATCTTTTTTCAGAAATGGATTCGTCTCGTCAAGACAAACAAAAAATGTCAACATATGTCATAGGTTTGGATGGAAAATGAAAAGGCTATTCATCTATAAACTTTCTAAAATGGCCAAAAAATGACCTTTCTAGTACTTTTGAAGCTCAATAACTTTTTCATTTCCCATTCAAACCTATGAGGTGTGTTGACATTTTTTGTTTGTCTTGTCGAGACGAATCCATTTCTATAAAAAGATCTTGATTTGGCCCACTTTGAATATTCACTCAAACCCCTTGGAAATATAACAAGACATCCCCTTGGATTTCAAGGCGGCACTTTTACCGTGCCTAGTTCAAATCACAGCAATTATACTATGAAAAGTTGAACTGGATCAATAAAATGCAAGACCTGCATCTGTATTTTCAGGTCACGTTTCAATGCCGCTGACCAACTATTGAATCGATTTGAGCTAGGGATCCTAAGCACTGAAAACTATTGTGTGCACATTTATTTTTCTGTGAACGGGTATTGCTTTCCAAGCCAAGTTATTGCATTTCTTTCGCAGCGCTATTTTGTGGCGTTCTGGTCTGTGGTGCTCTGGGGAATGGAACGCCAAAATTTGGCAGGGAATCCGGATATCAGGGATGGGAACGCCAAATTTAGGGGGTTAGGGAAAGACGCCACTCCGGTGGCGAGGAAACCTGCCACTAGACTTGCTGTGGAGGAACTTTGCGTCGAGGTCGGTCCAGGTATCTGCAGTCACAGCAACTCAATCCCTATGTATTTGACCTTTTCGTCTGCCACCCCAGCCTTTGCATCCTGGGACTGGTCATACACACTTTTCATGATACAGTAGTTTGAGGATGCCTGGTTAGACTTCAGGCGACCACTGCACCACAAGACACCCCAATGTCAATGCACGTCTGTATAAGGTTTTCAGCCCCGAAGTCAGCGAGACTCTCCCGGAACACCATGTTAAATGAACAGAACAGCGCTGCACCTATGGCAATTTTTAAGCGGTCTTGCTACCGCTTCTAGCTCTGCATCCGATCCCACTCATCCCATCCCATCCATCGCGCCATCCATCCATAGAGTGCGCTCTGAGGGGATTGCGCTCTGAGGGGATTGCATGGTCGTGGTTCGTCGTCGTCGGTCGTCGTCGCCCGCGCCGCCGCCCGCGCCGCCACGCCGCGCCAGTCCCCACTCCTCATAGCCACCCCCTCCCTCCTTGCCCCTTCTCTGCCCGGCCTCCCCTGCCTGTCCACGGCAAGACCGCTTTGCTAAGCTTCCCTGGCGGAAAGCGCTACAACTATTTCACGTTGAGAACGCGTTGCAAGTGCGTTGAGAGTACGTTTTGACGACCAAACGTGCTTTTGACACAGTTTTGACGCAGAATTGCGCGTTGAAAGTACGATTCATGAACGCTCTCTCAACGCGCTTTTTTTGTTGATCAACAACGTGCTTTTTACGCACTCTCAACGTAGTATTACGCGTTGAAAGCACGATTCCTGAACACACTTTCAACGCGCTTTTCTTGTCGATGAACAACGTGCTTTTTACGCACTCTCGACGCACAATTTCGCGTTGAAAGCACGATTCATGAACGCTCTCTCAACGCGCTTTTCTTGTTGATCGACCACGTGCTTTTTACGCACTCTCAACGCGGCGTTACACGTTGAAAACACGATTCAAGAACGCGTTTTTATCGTACTTTTCTTGTGGACCAACAGCGTGTTTTGAACGCACTCTCAACGCGTGATAACGCGTTTAAATTACGTTTCGTAAACGCTCACCCAACGCACTTTATTTGTGGGTTAACAACACGCTTTTCAAACACTCCCAACGCAGTGTCAAGCGTTGAACGCATGTTTTGTAACTTAGGTCACAGCGCGCATCTTCACGAAACGCGGTCACAACGCCTTCCCCTTGTGTATTGATAAGACGATTTGGCAATTTGGTCTCCGTCGCCCCTTTCTTAATCCGGGGTGCACCCACACCGCCACGCCGCAACGCCCTGTTTCGCACCTTGACGCCTCTGCACTGCAAACCTGTCTACTAAGTACACACTTACAAATGCATTGCTTGTAAGTACACACTTACGAACGCATGCTTGACGCCGCATAACTCCATGCGTCAAGCATGCGTTTGTCAGTGTGTGCTTGCAAGCCTGCGTTTGTAAGTGTGTACTTAGTAGACAGTTAGGTTTGTATTGAGAGGGGCAGTGCGACAAAACGCTTATGGTGGCTTCGGGAATCGGATTTCATCTGTATTTGGGGACGCGGAATCCACCTTTACTGAGAATAACAAGGTGTTTAAAGAATGAGGGCAACTGATAAAGGCGGTCTTGCGAAAGGGCCAATGAAAGGGAAGTTCTCTGTGAGAAATTGGCACGCCGGCCGAAAATCCAGTATCCTGATTGGCCGAGAGAAGATACCGTTTTTTTAATAGTGCTGGCCGCGCCAGCACGCCCTGCGCTGCAATGTCCGTCGGCCTGGCCGCTTACCGCCGTCCGCACTGTCTCTGCCTGCCTGCC